TATACATATATACAAATATACAAAATCCTAAAAGCCTAAATCGGACCGAACTAAAACCCTAAAACAGAAACTCCTATACAATAATTTGATTTGGGAGTCATGAACAAAAAAACTACCCCCCCCTTTTTTTAAATACCAAAAAAATTCAACCGTGTTATTTTTAAAGTCGATTGTTTTTGTTTTCAGTTTTTGTTATTGTTTTTAAAAATAGGTTCGTAGGGAGTGTACCTTTTTGCTCTAGAATTGACTCCCATACTCCAAAGGCAGTCTCGAGTACTCCGTGTGTATTTATTGTCAAATGGCCGTTGCATATGAAGAAGCATGTTAACTATGTTATTGTATTTAAAATAGATAATATATATACTATTACACATGATGACGGATGATCAATTGATTTGTGAATTCATAGGTGAGTGACAATTACCCCAGGACCCAGGATCCAGACTCCAGACTCCAGAGTCACGGCCAGGCCATAGGGAGTCAGGGAGTCACCCGGTTTTTAGGGTTTAAAAAACCCGAAAAAAAGTATGTGATACTTCGGTTTGTTCATTTCTTTTTTAATAGTAACAATAAAATTAAAGAAGTAAAAGCGTTCGACGGTTGACCGGATGTGTTTATATTTTTTACAAACATATCTTTTTTCCTGAGGCCGCTTTGCGCTAAAACAGGAAATCTATGGGCTGTGAAAGGCAAAGCAGTAAATCACATTTACATATTGCTCACTTTCTAAAAATAAAAATAAATGTTGCTCGTGCATGGATTCATTTTCGATAAAGTCTCTATATATTCTCTCTCTCTACGTAGTAGAGTATACAAAATATTAAATCACGGCTAGCGCGCCGCAGAGACCAGAAGCATTTCTCTTAAGAGGGTAACTATTAACTTGTGAATATTTCCGGCTATCCGCACAGGGTGAGCTGAGGGTGAGATACTGAGATTTCTTGATGGCCCTTTTCTCCCTCACTTTCACTCAGCACACACACAAATACGCACCGTTGTTCAGTCACACACGCTCACACATAAACACACTCAGCCTTTTTTTATAAATCAACTTTTCTTTTCAGCCGTCAATAACGGACCCACAAAAGTATGCTCTATTTTTTGAAACAAGGTTCCATTTAGGATCCCTCGGCGGCCTTTTGGGGGCCTACAAATAGGGGAAAAGCGTTCCAGACAGATTTCAAGTTCAATAAAAGAGATAGGGACTCTACAGCTACGCTTTCGGTGATAAGCAACTCTACGTCTTTTATGTCTCTTGGAGACTCTTGGTCTACACTCTACACACAAAATGTTTATTTGTTAAAAAAACCAAAAACAAAAACAAAACAAATACTACTCATCTTAGAATAATACATACATGTATTTGTTTTTTTGTATAGAAAAACATTAAAAAAACTATCTATTCATTTACATTAACTCCAAAAAGAGAAATTCCGGATTTCACATCTGCTCGTATTGTTGAGCGCTGGCAACTGGGGTCCGTAAAAACTAAAATTCAATCATCTGGAATTTGTATTCGGGTTCTTCTTCTATTTTAAATTTTTGGTTGTTCCCGTCAATTTTTCTTCTTCAAATTGAGTTCTGCCTAGAGAGAGGAGGGCCAGTCGCCGCCAGTGACATGTGCCATACAAAGGCTAGAATTTTTCTGAATTTGGATAGGGAACCTCCCCAAGAGTGAACGAGTACAACTGTCCAAGAATTAATCAGGATAAAGGATTAAGGAACCTCCTTATAGAGCTCTGAGAGACTGAGACTCTCTCTAGAGAGAGAGAGACTAGAGAGTGACCAAGAAGTGGACCACAAGTCTAAGGGGTATTTTTTTTTGTCTTTGTGAATGATCTCGAAGTGACTCGAACCACTTTTGTTTTGCATATTCTAATTCAACATTTATACATCTCGTGCTATAGGCGGTGTGATCTCTATCGGCGCTCCAAACATGCCCCACCACCCCGCGGGGATGCACACGTTGGTGATCAAGTATGACGTCTCAAGCTGCAATCGTATAAATAGAATTACTGTTTCTCTCACCTTTTCAGAATACAAACAAGCTCAGTTGAATATCAAGACAATACACTCTTCAGGAAAAACAAAACGATGTTGATTTCAACGATAGTTACGGTTTCCTTGCTCAGCGCACTGGCTACCGCTCAGCCACCGCAAGTTGGCGGTGGTGATGGTGGGCCACCTCCGGGTGAGGGTGGGATGGGTGGGATGGGTGGGGGTGATTCTACATCGGTGAGCTCGACACAGTGTACAACTCCGGATGGTGAAGTTTGTAGTCAAGATGGTAGTAGCAACGAGTTTTATGGTACCTTTGCATATGATGAAGAGACTGGCCTTCACAGTGGCACTGTTGTTTTCAATCAATGTCCCAACAGTGACCCGAGTGGTCGTGTGGACGATGGTTTCGACTACAATATCTCTGCTTCAAGTGACTGTCAGGAAATGACATTCCCCGTTGATGGATACAACACCACAGGTCCATGGGCTGCCCCTTTGAGAAATCGACTCGGCATCAGCTTGCACGGTGTGAATATCTATGGCCCATTTGAGGCTGGTTTTGTCGAAGGATTCATCTGCAATGGAACATGCGACGGTGGAGTTGATGTGCCTGCCTGTGACTTGACCCTTGAATTCCAATGTGGCATTGAGAATGTCAATAAGGAATATCTACTAGATCCGTGCGGTGGACATGCCCTGCCATACCATTATCATGCCGATCTCAGCTGTGAGTACGATCAGAACACATTGGGACATTCCGCTTTGATTGGTGTTGCTTTGGATGGCCGTGGTATATATGGGCTAAATGAAGACAATGTAGATGGCGAGGCTGTGCAACCGACTGATCTTGACTTCTGCGGTGGTCACTATGGAGCAGTGGAGGAGGATGGCCCTGAGGTATACCATTACCATACACAGACCACGGCGCCGTATACAGTGGGCTGTTTCGGCCCAGTCGTGGATGTAGAAGAGTGCAGGGCATTGTACCCAGATAATTGTGGCGTCGATTATTTGATTCTTGAGACAGAGGCTGGCAGTACATGTTATGACACAGATTGCCCATGTTTCTTCGCTGATGGCACTAACTCTGATTACACGGTGGAAAACTGCCCAGTCTAATCTGTCAATTATAAGCAGATACCAGATGTATTGTCACAATACTCACTACGTGAAGAATCGCTTTCGACTTTAATGTGTTTTCAATTAAAACACAAACTAAAATAATCTGAATCTGATTGACGTTTTTCTTTAGCATTGTCTGGTAACTCTTTGCCTTGATAATAGGGCATAATATGAACATTTCTCATCAATGTTGGAGATTTTTCTCCCCAATGGCACCAATACTGAATACGCAAACACCCCACCTGCCCAATCTAGCTTGTTAGCTAGAAATATGAACCAGATGAAATGATATTATCACCCACTACGTTGAGTTTCAGCTAGAAATACGAACCAGATAAAATGATATAATCACCCACTTCGTCGAGTTTCAGCTAGAAATACGAACCAGATGAAATGTTAATCACCCACTTCGTTGAGTTAGATAATTTGGATTTCGACCATTCGGTACGTACAGAAAAGAATAAATATCAAATTCCGAATCCACATTATAGTTGATTTTGGATACAGTGCAATATTGTTTTAAATAGATGTAAAATAAAGTTTAGCTGTGGCAACATAGTGTATACTTGGGAGGGAATTTATGATGATATTTGGCACCTTGGCATCATCACATTAGTCTCGTTGTGAACATCGTCTCTAGATACATGAATGATAGAGAAGCTAAAGGGTTCAATCAAAGAGGATACAAAAGGAAGGCTTTGTAGCTATCAACAGCGAGGCTGCGGGAGATTCTTTCAAAAGACAGCCTCTTCTAAGATTGCTATTCCTACGGCGACACACACGTGCGGAAACCCATGGTAATATCTAGAGTTTATATACACTCCAATTTTTATTGTGATGCTAAATTGTTATGTACTAAACACAAAGCAATACTGCGCATTCTAATGGTCCCTGCTGATTATTATTGTTGTCGAAGCGGGGTATGTTTCCCTGTTCTACATTACGAAGTATCGCGGATGTGTCACTTGCCAGGAAGAGGACAGAGACTGTCACAGGTAGATGACCTTGAATGTCTTGTAGCGCATGCACGGTCACGGATACCACACCCATGTTGTAAACCGTAAGCTAACGCTGTTTTCTAATTAACCAACTAACTCGGGCCTGGGCCGGTGATTGTCGCCTGTGTGCTGTTAGGCGTGGGTCAATACGCAGAGTGTATCATGTACTACAGTCTACATACACGATGTTGCGGGCAGTTGCATTATATTGAGATAGTACATTAAGGGACTCGTCATAGTCCTAGGTAAAAACGAGCGCAAATGCCCGTGCATTCAACCAAAATAAAATAATAAACAAATAAACACCTTGGTATGCCGGTGGGGTGACAGATACAATCTTACCGCTTCTCCAGAGTGTACATACGAAAATGTGACAGTTTCAATTGGACGGGCATGTACACAAACAGCCACAAATACCTTAGACCAACAAAGGACAAAGCAGGGAAGCGAGACCAACGAAGAACTGAACAGATAAGCGAATACCTTCATTTCAGCTTCCCAAAAATGAACTAGAGCTACCGGATTGTGTCTATGATCGCCCGACAGCACACAACTCGCTTACACGGCACTACTATTATCGGTTACCGTGGCATCGCCCTCAATAGTAACGGGGGGTGACTGCTGTGCACCGTCTGTACTACTCATACTCGTAGGTTCAGCAATGTCCTTCTCTGAGTTTGTTTGTGCATCTTGTTGCTCGTTGTCTGGGGTGAGAAGGTCTTTTGTGTGGGTGTGTGTTCTGTACTGTGTGGGTGTGTGTTCTGTATCATTAGGCCGTAGGAGTGAACTGTAGTGAGCGCAGGCCTGAGGGCTGAGGCTGTAGGGCGTAGGGTTGGCTGGTCGTAGGGCGTAGGCTGTATTTACTTACTACTATTGTAACAGTGACCCTATGAAAAGGCTGTTCTGTCTCTTAAAATATTCACATCATTGCCCTCTTTGAATGATACCAATTTTTATAAGAATAGAAACCCTAATATTGCCCTTTGGAACTTATATTCCGGATTCGTTTCACATTTGACAACTGCTGACACTGCATACACATATTGCATAAATACTAAATAGTGCTGACTGCGAGGCTGCTGAGTGCTGATTGGCGACTGCTGATTGCTGACTACTAGAGTAGAGTGCAGTCACTGCACTGCGACAGTGCGCAGTGCGCACTCTCGCAGTATAAACTGGGAAAGTTGAATGTTCAGCGTTCAGCGTTCAGCGTTCAGTGTTCAGTGTTCAGTGTGTTGACTGTCACATGAATATCAAATGAGCCGTAAATACTAAAAATACATATGTAGTTCCGTAGAGTGTAGAGTGTAGACTGTAGAGTGTAGAGTGTAGAGTGTAGAGTGTAGACTGTAGACTGTAGACTGTAGACTGTAGACTGTAGACTGTAGACTGTAGACTGTAGACTGTAGACTGTAGACTGTAGACTGTAGACTGTAGACTGTAGACTGTAGACTGTAGACTGTAGACTGTAGACTGTAGACTGTAGACTGTAGACTGTAGACTGTAGACTGTAGACTGTAGACTGTAGACTGTAGACTGTAGACTGTAGACTGTAGAGGCGTAGGCCGTAGGGCGTAGAGTCGTAGACTGTAGACTGTAGAGTCAGAGTGTAGAGGCGTACATAGTTTGTTTACATTTTACTCTAGCATGTATTTAGGAATTTTCGGATTCTCAATTCTAGGCTCGCCTATTTTATTAACTTTCACAACAAAACATAAGACACGTTTTGTACACGCGCGGAGCCTGGAGGGCGCAGGCCGCAATCTTCTAGATTTTGATTTTGATTATTATTTAAAAAAAAAAACATACAGAATACAAAACGGTTCAATAACCATTTTGAATTTGAGATATGTAAATAAAATATTTACACACACATGTGTTTGTCATGTGCTACACTGAAATTCTGAATATATTTATGTACTACTACCACTCTCTCTCAGAGAGAGAGCCTATAGTACTATACATTTTTTTATTAATAGCAATATAGAGCTCGGATTATTATCCTGGGAACCTATTTTTAATAACATACAGCTCGGATAATAATTCTTGGAACCTCCCCACAAGAGTGAACAAGTCCAACTGTCCAAGTGATAATGAGGAATCGTTTTTAAACATTATATATATATAGAGAGAGAGTAGAATAGCTTTTTTTCAAGTTCTTTTGTGAATGATTTCGAACCTATTTGTTTTATTTTGTTTATTTTTTAAAAACAATAACAAAAGAAAACAGTAACCACTCAGTCACTCACCAATATTCATAAATAAATAAATATGTCGCCATTTTCCATTTTTTTTTAGCCTTCTTCTGTATGTAAATAATCACTATTTAGTCGTTCCGACAAGAAATAAATTGAACCAATATTGTTTGTTGTTTGTTTTGATTTTGTAAAAAAAAACAAAAACAAAAACAAACATAAAAATTAAAAATAAGTTTTGTGAATGATTTCGTATTTATTTAACAAAAATATTTACCTATTTTGCTTTGCATATCTGTCCAAAGTCCAAAGTCCAACTTCTAAACAGATTCTCGGCTTAACTTCTAAGCGTATAGGCTGTGTGATATCTGTTTCTCTGTCAGGCGTCGGCGACTCGGCGCTCCGAATATCCCAGTCCCCCCGGTGGATGTATACGTTGATGAGCAATCAAGATGCCTCAAGCTGCAGTAGTATAAAGAGAACTGCTGTTTTGCCCACAGGTTCGGAATTCGAACACCCTTTGAAATAACAACAATACATACTACAAAAATTTCAAAAGGATGTTCTTTTCAACGATAGTTACAGTTTCCTTGCTCAGCGCACTGTCTACCGCTCAGCCACCGCAAGTTGGCGGTGGTGATGGTGGGCCACCTCCGGGTGAGGGTGGTGAAGGTGGGTAGGGTGGGGGTGATATGGCGGATTCTACATCGGTGAGCTCGACACAGTGTGTAACTCCGGATGGTGAAACTTGCAGTCAAGATGGCAGTAGTAGCGAGTACTATGGTACTTTGACATATAATGTAGCCACTGGCGTGCACAATGGAACGGTCGTTTTCAATCAGTGTCCCAACAGTGACCCGAGTGGTCGTGTGGACGATGGTTTCGACTACAATATCTCTGCTTCAAGCGACTGTCAAGAAATGACATTCCCCGTTGATGGATACAACACCACAGGTCCATGGGCTGCCCCCTTGAGAAATCGTCTTGGCATCAGCTTGTACGGTGTGAATATCTATGGCCCATTTGAGGCTGGTTTTGTCGAAGGGCTCGTCTGCAATGGAACATGCGACGGTGGAGTTGACGTGCCTGCCTGTGACTTGACCCTTGAATTACAGTGTGGTATTGAGAATGTAGATCAGGAATTTATACTAGATCCGTGCGGTGGACATGCCCTGCCATACCATTATCATGCCGATCTCAGCTGTGAGTACGATCAGAACACATTGGGACATTCCGCTTTGATTGGTGTTGCTTTGGATGGCCGTGGTATATATGGGCTAAATGAAGACAATGTAGATGGCGAGGCTGTGCAACCGACTGATCTTGACTTCTGCGGTGGTCACTATGGAGCAGTGGAGGAGGGTGGCCCTGAGGTGTACCATTACCACACACAGACCTCAGTGCCATATACCTTGGGTTGTTTCGGCCCAGTCACAGAATTAGAAGAGTGCAAGGCATTGTACCCAGATAATTGTGGAGTCGACTACGTGATCCTTGAAACTGAGAGTGGTTCTTCATGTTATGACACAGATTGCCAATGTTTCTTAGCCGATGGCACCAATACGAAATACACTGCTGTTACCTGCCCACTCTAACTTGTCAGCTAGAAAGACGAACCAGAGGAAAATCCGAATCCGATATCGTGATACAATCGCCCGCTTCGAATTCCGATTTCGAATATTCGACACGTATAAAAAATAAAATATAAATTTGAAATGATGTTTTTTTATATTTAGTCGATTATGAATACTGGTTTCATGCCTTTGAATCAGTGCAAAGTGGATATTGCTGTCAAAAAACAGCAGAATTCAACAATGACGACTATTCCTGCGAGCTACATATTCTGTTGCGACCACGTACAAAAACTCATTGTAGTATACAGTCAGATTAACTCGCAGTTTATATACACTAATTTGTTTATTGTGGTTCAATATTGTGATGTACTCCACATTGAGCAATACTGTGGTCATCCAAATGGATCCTGTTGATTAATTAGCATTGTCGGAACGGGGTCTATTTCCTGTTCTCCATTAGAAGTGTCACGAACAGATGTCACTACAGGTTTAATGGAACGTCGCTTCGCAATGCGGGGGGGGGGGGGGGGTTAGATGAAATCAAGTGTCGAGTTTTAAAACTTCGGAGAGTCTCGACTGCTTGGAAACTCAAGCGTGTGAGCCCATCCAGTGAAACACCTCCGTTAACAATCTGCGGCCCACAAACAAGAAAAAAATTCTGATTGTTGATATTTCGCGGTATATAGGGACGTATGCAGCTCACGGCACATAGTCCCATCTAGCACCTTCCACACCTCCAGAACCACCCAACCCACATCAGGAATTACTATTTTGAAGCAGCTCTACTGGAGCTGGCAAGGTTTCCTCTGACCACACCTCAATTCCTCGGACGTAGTAAATTCTTCGGAAAAAAAAAAGCACTGGTCATTGTTCGTCAGCCCATCAAAGTTCTTGTACACACCATAACAATGGTATGTACCAGATCAGTTGAGTATTGTAAATTATATCACATTGTTGCATCATGACGGTTGCCCCATTAACACTGCAGCTGTAAATTGGGCACACTGCGTTTCCTCGCAAGCAGTAGATTGTCCGCAAACTCCGACGGAGTCTTCGTCTGGCTATTGACTATGTCCTTGTGGACATCCATGGCCTGGTGTAGCACCTGCTGAGCGTTCTGGGCGTGAAGCTTAAATACAATCTCAAACTCTTTAAGGTCCTTTCGGAAGATGTTACAGTGTTGGAGATCCAGCATTGTCGCCTGTATTGCGATGTATTGATTCGATGGGTGTGAGACAGTTACCCGCTCCTGAAACCCGAATAGTGGTGTGTACATGATGCAACTATTTTAAACCCTAAAACCCTAAGTTTCTATTTGACCTACAACAATCCTTCAACGTATAGGCACCTCAATTCATATCTACTGATATTATCTCGTGCACATGAAGAAAAAAATACAATCCGAATCCGCGATGAAACCTCCAACGTTGAAACGCAAAGTAGCCAAATCATTGAAGATTAATGAGAGGCGCTGTTGTCAGGTGCATCAGATAGCCCACTAGTACACGGAGGGTGTCATATATATACACTACGTCCATCCATCCATATATATATATATATATATACATATATACATATATACATACATACATTATATATATTTGTATATATAAATATATATATATATATATCGATATACATATATTTATATAAACACATATACATATACATGTATATATACATATACATACACATATACATATATATATACATATACAGATATATATATATATATAATTTGACAAGGGCTTAAAATGCTTCCCGTCTTAATTCAATATGACGCAATGATATGTCTTCTCCAACCCCATCCACTATACCTTGGCTAAGAAGGCTTCCCGTTTGTCCTTGTATTCCGCTTCCATTGCCTGGTATATTAAATAGACTTCACTGAACTGGTTGTTGCCCTGCTCTCCTGCACGCTGTCTGCGTTGCTGGGCCGCGTGTGCCTTTTCGCGCGCAGTAAGTACGTCTGCCGCAGCCTAATAATGAATGTGCAAAGAAAACACACAAACGTATGAATATTAATTATCGCATGAAATGCATCTGCAGCGGCCTAATAACGAGCGTGCATAGAGAACTCACATACGTACAAACATTCATCATATTAAAAATATCGGCAGCGTAATGAGTGTGCATAGAGAAAACACATACATATGAATATTGACTATCATATTAAATACATCTGTAGCGGCATAATATCGAATGTGTATAGAGATCACGCATACGTATAAATATTAAATACAATAGTGAATACATATGTATCGGCCCAATGATGAGTGTGTATAGAAAACACACATACGCATGCGAGACTAGTGATCATAGTGAGAACATCTGAAGCGGACTAATAACGAGGGTGCATGAAATACACACGTACGTATGCGAGATAAAATAGCATAGTCTATAGATCCGCAAGAGCCTATGAACAAGAACGAAGTACAGCATAGACAAACACTTATGATGAGACTAACACAACCGAAAGAAAAGTACGACTTCCGTACCTTAAACAAATAGAACATCTATGTGCCTATGTATTCTCGGACCAACACACACGCACACACACGCACACACACACACACAGAGAGACTTCGTACATGCTGGGCTTTTATATCACCTACTACATGCTCATACTAACAAACACACAGTCACACGCACATACACACACACACTCACTCACTCGCCCACCTACACATACACGCAGAGCAATCTTACCTGCTGGGCATCTGGCACTCCTCGGGTGATGAACGCGTCCCAAGTGCTCTCCATTCGAGAGAGCAACGGTGACAAGTCCTGCTGCGACGTATGCACATCCTTAAGGGATTCGCCCATATTGCGCAGAACCCTTCCTGTGCAAAGAAGGATGGGGTTACTACTAGGTAACCATGGTGATTGGTATGCGCACACAGTAGCACTCTGCCTGTGTAAAGAAGGATGGGGTTACTACTAGGTAACCATGGTGATTGATATACGCACACAGTAGCACTCTGCCTGTGTAAAGAGGATGGGGTTACTACTAGGTAACCATGGTGGTTGGTATGCGCACACAGCAGCACTCTGCTTGGGTAAAGAAGGATGGGGTTACTACGAGGTAACCATGGTGATCGATATGCGCACACAGTAGCACTCTGCCTGTGTAAAGAAGGATGGGGTCACTACTAGATAACCATGGTGATTGATATGCGCACACAGTAGCACTCTGCCTGTGCAAAGAAGAATGGGGCTACCACTAAGTAACCATGGTGATTGGTACTCGCATACAAACCCCGCCTGCCTACGAGCTGCAATGCGATCTTCGACTTATCACGCAGAATGAACACACACGCCAGTACACATGCGTGCATATCAAACAGATACACTCATTTGTACCACATCCTCTCTCATATACACTCCTATGCTTATCAACAACATATACACATATACACATGCGTGTATGTGAAACACATACCCAAATTTTTATCATATACACTCCAAAGCTTATCAACAACACGCACACACATACGCATGCGTGTATATTAGACACATACACTCATTTCTACCATACACTCCAAGACATATCAGGAGAGACTTACGTTTCATAGAGTCTCCATTGCTTTGTGTTGTTTTTGCTGTCGATGGACTGCACACAGTACGTCAGCTGTAGTGTGACATACACTCGTTACAATCAAATAAACTCCGCACATGTCTGTACACACCAACACACAAACATGGAACAACAGCCACACACCACGATGTACATATATGTGTGTATATCTACCACATACACACATCAATGCACATACATGCACACATGTGTATATATATCTACCACTTACACACATCAATGCACATACATGAATAACAACACCACACACCACGATGTACACATGTGGATATATATCTACCACATACACACATCAATGCACTTACATGAATAATAACACCACACACCACGATGTACACATGTGTATATATATCTACCACATACACACATCAATACACATACATGAATAACAACACCACACACCACGATGTACACATATCTACTCAACCACATACAGGCATCAACAGCCACCCCAACACACATGCATGTCTGCTCACGCACACACCTGTGTCACCTCGTGTCTTCATGCCCTCGTCATTGAGGGCCTTGGCCAAGTGTTTGATCTGCAGAGTCATGGTTATGAATGCCTTACGGTACATGCTCAGAGCCTTGACCGATTCAGCAAACGTGTGGGAGAAACGCTCTAACGACTCCAAAGCATCGTCTAGTTCGGGATCAGCTGGGATAGAAATGGATAAAATATAATGATAGTTGCTAAGGTGTAGAGAAGATAATGATAGTTGCTAAGGTGTAGATAAGATAGTGATAGTTGATAAGGTGTAGATAAGACAATGATAGCTGCTAAGGTGTAAATAAGATAATGATAGTTGCTAAGGTGTAGGAAAGATAATGATAGTTGCTAAGGTGTAGATAATATAATGATAGTTGCTAAGGTGTAGATAAGATAATGATAGTTGCTAAGGTGTAGATAAGATAGTGATAGTTGATAAGGTGTAGATAAGACAATGATAACTGCTAAGGTGTAAATAAGATAATGATAGTTGCTAAGGTGTAGGAAAGATAATGATAGTTGCTATGGTGTAGATAAGATAACGATAGGTACTCAGTTGTCTTGTAGTTGCTATCCCGCGCTAGACATTCCAACAGAACCAGCGACAGGCATTAAATGCCGACGTACTTGTCAGGAGGAAGAAAGAAACAGAGGCTGGTCCGGTAAAAGACGCCTGTGTGCTGTTACGCGTGGTTTGATATGCCGGCAGTATCACGTACTACAGTCTACATACACTATATTGCGAGCAGTTGTATATACGTGATAGTACATGTCTGTAACAGGTGCAAGCCGACTCGCCTGAGATGTCAATTGCGCACATGCCCGTGTATTCGACCAACACAAACGAATGAACAAATAAACCCCTCGATATGTCGGATGGGTGTCAGATACACTCTTACCGCTACTCGCGGGTGTACATACGAGAACGTGGCCATTCAGTGGAGATTGCATATGGTTCAAATGGATGAGCACGTACACACACAACCATAAATACACCAGATCAACACCAAGCGAATACCTTCATATGTTGGAACTGTGACGAAGATGTTTTTAAGGCTTCCCCATAATGAAGTAGAGCTGCCGGATTGTGACTGTGATCTCCCGACAGCATCCTTAGGCGTAGCCTCATCCTTTTGACTCGCTTCGGCACCACTATTATCAGTTGCCGTAGCATCGTCTTCTGTAGCTACGGTGGCTGACTGCTGTGTACCGTCTGTACTATTCCCTCTCGTAGGTTCAGTAATGTCTTTATCCGAGCTCGTTTGTGCACCTTGTTGCTCGGTCTCAGCAGTAGGAAGGTCTTTTGTGTGTGTATGTGTGGGTGTGTTCGTGTCATCCTCTCTTTCCCCATCAATGTATGCACTGATCTGCTGCGTAGCCTGTTGTAAACTCTGCCCATCAGATTGTGTCTCCGTTAGGTCTGCACTTTCGTGTTCACCATCACTACTCAAATCAAAGGTCACTGAACTCTTAGCGTCACCTTGGACTTCTTCACTTTTGGTATCCGACGCATCGGTTATATCCGTGTGTGTGATAACATCTGATCCATTTTCTAGTGTAACTTCAGTATGTTCAGCTACACTATCCTCCGCACTCTCTTGACATGCAACCGCTTCCGACGAGACCATAGCCGTGTTTGTTGTTGAGTTTGCTTCTTCTTCTCCGTCAGCTACCGAAGTGGTACTTGAATTGACCGATGACTTCGATTGCGTCCCACTAGCGGGAGGGGTGGGGTCAGTGGGCGGTGGTGTTTGCGGGGGTGATGTCTCAGCCATATTGCTTAATGTGTGTGAATAGTTAGTATTTGTGGACAAAGTCGACGTTGAGGTGATTCTGCATACATATATATAAGTGCTTCTTTGTGTACTCCTATGAGGGATAACAACCGAGAGCTATTAGTAGTAAAAACAGGTATATCTATATCTATATCTATAGACATACACGAACATGTACATATATTGACATATACATAGATATATATTATCGCTTGTACACTATATAACATATATCAGGGTTACGGGGATCATTGCTGAGTTTGTATTTATTTACTTTAAACACAGCCTCTTTTACTTCAAAGCTGTCCATACTATAGTTCGTTTCTTGAAAAAACTGTTACAATTTTAGGCTGTAAATAAAACGTAATATAAAATAATCATTCGTTTTTGCGTTAAAGTGCTAAACGTTTTTTGCATCATTGGGATTTCAACTGGGAGTGTAAATAGTAATGAATAAAACACGGATGGGACGCCGCGGGGACTGAAAGAGCATACCTATAGGGGTAATTTACTTGTATATATTTAGACATTCTGATTCGGGCCTATTGATCATTTTGTATAGGGTCTCAAATGGGCAAAATCGATTCCAGCCAGAAAAAAGGGGCCACTTACGATTTTTGGGGACGGACAAAAAGTCAGTGTCAAAACACAGCTGGGACGCTGCGGGACTGAAAGCGCATAATCAGAGAGATAATTCATTTTGTTCATAATCACGTATCTATATAGAAATATTGGTAAAATATCTAGGCTCATATTTTTAGAAACAAATCCAAACAAATTATCCAAAAAAAAAAATAGTGATCTTTCTTTCTGAAATGAAGAGGGACTCCAAAGGGGTCTACAAATGGCGACGGACAAAAAATCGGTGATAAAGTTGATAGGGATTTAGAAAAGCTTTCTCTTTCAGTAGTAAAGTTGACCGGGACTGACGCTGTCAGTGATAAAACACGGCTGTGACGCCGTGAGGTCTGTAAGCGTATACTCAGAGAGGTAATTCATTTTGTTCATATTCACGTTTAAATATTCATAGCGTTCTAAATTGAAACAAAGGCTATGAAATATTGGCACCGCCAACAAAGTATTAGCTCAAAGTAGTGGCCCTAAATTTTAAATAACCAGTTTGAAAATCGTCCCAAAAATAGGACGGACGCTGTCATTTCGAAAAATTACAGTGAAGTCTCCAATCAAACCGAAAAAATGTATAAATGAAAACGTCCATGAGTAAGAAAAAAAATGTTCCCACACAAGTTTTGAGCATTCTGAATGTAGCCTAATGAAACTATTTTTGAACTTTCTTTTAAAATAGATCAAATTTTCATAAAACGTAAGTACATGTTCTCTGTTTTTTCTACTTCATTTCTCTTAGTCTCAAGACTCAAAGTAAGGCCTCGATCTCCGAACCGGATGGGAAGCTGAATACTGCTGCCACTCCCACCGCTCCCTCAAGCTTTCCCTCCGGCTTCCCCCCTAATTACAAATTTATATGCTCAATTTATTTTAAATCATAACTTTCTGAATGTTTAAAAAGTATTAAAAATTAAAAATATTACACATGGAGCAAGAAGATTGGGGGGAAGGGGGGGGGGGAATCTTCTTAAAAATATTAAAAGGAAAACATAGCTTTCTGACACAAACCTCTATTTAAATTCTTGACAATTTAAAAAATAAAATTAAGCACCATTTCACTTGACCTTCATAACGATATTTAGCCAAGAATTGATACCTAGACTACCTCAAGTCTCAGGGTATCCGGCTCTTGCCAGGCTCAGGTTTATTGCTGGTAATATAACCTAAGTGGTGGGGGGGGGGTCTCCGTCCCCACCTCCCCCCCCCCCTCTCCTTAGTCTCAGCCTTTTTGAAAGTCAGCCTATTTGATAATTTATTTCTTGATCGAGTTTACTTTTTTTAAAGTCATTTTTTTAATGTTAATTTTATACACTAAATGCAGTATTTAAACAATCATATCTTTTTGAATGTTTGAAAAGTGTTTCTTGTTTTAAGATAAAAAATAGTTTTTGAAAATATTACAAAAGTAGACTATCCTTCTCCCCCTTATAATTATGTTCCATTTTTATTCAACTATTTATTAAAAAAAAAGAAATCATAGCTTTCTGACATCTATTAAAATTCATGACAATTTAAAAAAATAACCTGACATAGACTGAATTAAAATAATATATATTTACGACATGAATGAAGTAGCAGTCTATACATTAAAAAAAAATTGTCAATATTTAAATTATCAATAATTACTAGTATTATCAATTTTTAACACTAGCTTACTGACATAGACGTCTAAATTAACATTATATACTGGATCCAGTAGCAGGCTATATACGACAATTATATATAATCTATTTTAATCATTTTTTATTTTTTTGTTATTTTTATAATATTACAAAATGAATATTTAAATATACACTAAATAGCGAGCGAAGCGAGCTAAATCATATTTTTTAATATTTTTTTAGATAACATTATTATATACAATTGTGATTCTCTTTTTCAAAGAAAAATAAAATCCACCGGTGCCATCCCCGACCAGGGAACGCGAAGGCATTAGCAATAATACATATTTAGTAAAACCTTACATAAGACAATGTTAGATTTATTAGGTTTATTAGATGGTAATATCTTAAATGAATTTTACTCCTAAAATTCCAAGTCAGCTCTGTATCAGTTCTACCCAGTACAAGCTTGTAGTGTTTTCCTTTAGTTACCAGCATATATTTTAACTGAATTAATCACGTCCACGAGCTCTTGTACAATGATGACCGGCTCAGCCCTAGATGGACAAAAATATGAAGTTGTCCCATGCGTATAGCCGGTATGTTCAGAACTTGTAGAATCCGGTCGGCACCTGACAAAATTTGTCGTGAGTCCCTCTCAATCGTATGGTCCGTGTCCGTCTAGACTGTATCATGCCTTAAGATGAGTAACCCATATACGAAAAATTTCCGAAATGTTGGACTTAGTAGCCGAAAAAGTAAAACAACCCACTTAGCGTTTTGCACATGTCATAAGCCCTAAGTTGTCGCTCCACTTGATAACCTCTTTCTTATGCTGTATGGTCTTATCCAAGCGATTGTTAAAGCGAAAATCGATTGTTGAGTCTCAGATAATAAAATGGTCTAGCGTAGTATACACTTCTACTTTAGTATTTTATCCGGTATTGAATCAGAGAAAAGTTATGTCACCACCACATCAGTATGCAATGTAAACTGCGGATTAATTACAAGCAGTTGTTTCAACAGTCGAACACAGGCTTTCTTGCTCACATAGAAACTTCATTCTTCGTATAACAAAAAATTACTTAACTAATTAAATTTAGTTAGCTTAACCTGTGAGGAACGTTGTAATACAATTAATAAAGTAGTTCGGTAACTTAAAAATGTGGGAGCTTTACCCAGCCCGCTAAGCGTACCGTGTTAGAGAATAACACTGCGCGCAATACTAAGAAACCTCGCACTACTGCTGGAGGTAGTAAAGGCTCTACTTCTACTGATGTAAACTTCGATGGATATTTCTATGTTTTAAACTATGTTAAATCAACTAAGATACAATTTAAGTCAGTTTGGATTTAGCAGTGATAGCTTGTGTAAGAATGATCGGGGATTGGCGGGAAGATCAAAACCTGTAAGTAATAGTTCAGAGATTATAAAATTTAGTTTATAATATCCTACATCTACTATCGTTTCAATTAGTTCCCAGTAAATAACTCATACCAAATACTTAGGCTATTGGAGCCATCAAAGTGGATTTAGAACACTTTGGGAATATTGCAAAAAAAAAAACTTGTATTAAAATATTTGAAATATAAACAAAAACCAATGTGCTATCACATTTGATCTTGATATTTTAAACTGACCGGAGGCCGTATTTCTACATAGCCTCCAGTAGCTCTTAGGACTACCGACGTACGTGAAGGTACGATGTAGTTCGTAAAGCAAAAACCAAAGTAAGACGGTTTCGGTCATGGCTTATTGTGAGATTCGGTCTCTCAAGGCGATATTAACGCCTTAGAGTAATTAAACGCGTAAGTAAAAAATAAGTATCGTGATATTTAAAGTAAATAAACGAAATGAGTCTTTTAGTAAAGTTAGGTAAGCCTCGTGAAAACAGCAATACTCTGAGGGATTGCGAGGCTGAGACATTGCCTATATATAATCCTCTCAGTACTGATTTCGCTGAATGGATTTTATTTAGTGTTTCGTTGTCGCTCTATTAGAAACTATGGTATGTTTCGTTGGGGCGAATCCGAGAGACTCATAAAATCTCATCTTTAGAAGAAGAAAACAAGACAAAGAAAATTACTCTTGATATTGGTTGAACGGAGGTTAAACTAGGTAACGTTAATAGTCCCTAGAAATACATATATATTCGATTGAGCTATCTCGCTACCGAAGTATTCAGACAAAAATAGATTTGGAAAGTAAATATAGTTTTAGGGTTTATATCTTTAGAAATAAAAAAATAGAACAAAACAATACTCTTGATGTCCTTAGTTATTACATTAACCAATAACTTGCCACTTATCAAGAATTATCGACTTAGCCTTCACCAGACTGGCACATCTGGTTGGCAGAACGGAGGTTAAACTAGATAACGTTAATAGTCCTTAGAAAGCTATATTCATTTGAGCCATCTCGCTACCGAAGTATTCAGATATAAATAAATTTGGAAAGTAAATATAGTTATATTAATAGAACTAGGCCAACTTATGTTTGGTATTTTACTGGGGCCTTTTAATGGTCTTGTCTGAATATCTGATATGTAAAATTGGCCTTATCATTTGAAATGGATTCAGACTCAAATGAATAACTGCATGAATCCTCAAACTGGAATACTCCCGTTTCACTACTTCTTTGGCCGCTATAGTGAGTTACAAGCAACATTTGACAAAACTGCGCCCGAGAAACACGTTACTCCGTGGTTACAAAAGATCGAGCATATGCATAACGTTGTTTACCCCTGTTTACTCGAGCACAAAAATCGTGACCTACTTAAAGCGTATGACCGATGGAATAACACTACGAACATTGTTCAGTTCAAAGTTGGCGATTATGTTAACATTATAAATCGCAATGCCAACATTGCCGAACTCTCTTCTAAGACAATTGGACCTTTTGTTGTTTCCTACCATGATGAGAAGAGTAATACTTACGAAGTGAATAACATAAATGGTAGTAGCGCAACTAATCTAGGCACTCACCGAATCCCTACCTCCGAACTCTCATTCACTTGC